CGACAAAAGTTTCGATTGAATTCTATTATTATGTGACATATTATTTTAGTACACCGAAGGTAGTGCACATGTGATGAATGAAGAGCGGGAATGAAGTGGCCATCGCTTCTGCCTTCTAAAGACATTCCTGCCAAGTGCCAACTGCCAAGACTTACTCCTGCAGTTAACCAATGTGTTGAAGCAGTTTGTCATATTTTTCAGAAATCACATGCTGACACAGTTGTAAAGAATAGTTTTGTGAAAATATTGTGAGTGATATGATGAAAAATATCAGAAAAAAATATTTTTGAAATTATACATACACATGTACAGAATGTAACTAGAATATTTTCTCGAAAAAAAGTTGCTCTCTCTTCTTCGAAAAAGAAGAAAATATAGAAAGAGCAGACTTATATGTACATATTATAACGTTGTACAGCAGATACGCATGGAGTGTAAAATGAAATCGTGAAATGTTAGATGATATTTTGCCTTTTTTATTCAGTGACTAAATTATTTATACAATAAAGAATACGCAATGAAACATATATTACAGGATGTTGGAACGCAATTATTATGTTATTGAATATAAATATGTTTATTAAAAAATTGTCGTCTTTATTTTGTTAGTTTATTAATTTAATAATTATGTATTGTGTAAATTATCCATGATTGTCTTCCGGTTCGATATAATTATAATACCATATTGTTATTTGCACATCGAAGGAAAGCCATGCAAGGTAAATCACAGATAACGCATAATTTGTGATAATTATAATTGATTCAATCGTTCTATTTCCATAAAATTTTATATAAAGGAAAAGAATTTTCATTAAATAAATAAAATATAGCCGGAGAATGTTTAATTGTATTCCAAATTGTAATACAAAGTAAAATGTGAATTATAAAGCGTTTGTGTTTTATAGTATTATTCCTCAAAATTATATATAATTAATCAAATATAGTTTATTAAATTGTTTGTAATGAAATTATGGATAAATATCAAGTAAATATGCATTTGTAAAACGGAAATCTGTGTATATATTTTTATATTATTTCTGAAATTTCAATTTGCAATCTAAATAAAATAACAAAAGTGACAATATTAATTAGAGTAATGAACATTCTGTTGTGAGAATTATCAAAACAAATAGCGAAAAGAAAATATAATTCAGACATAAGAGAAAAATGAAACTTTTTTCTTAGGATGAAAAGTGAAAAGTGAAACATTTTTCCATTAACTTCAATAGTTAAAATTTTTATTTTTTACTTTCCCTAAAAACGAGTTCTGGATATAATCTATCGCATGCTTTTTTTTCGTGCACGCTGCATCTCGTATTAGGAGCACAATTTTTTGACTTTGTGATTTGCTCACTTTTTACAATTTCTTTAATTTCAAAAAAAATACACGCGCGCATGCATGTATAAGAGTAACAAACTTCTATTTGAATTCCGAATTGTAACATTTGTTATCGCTTGTTATTTATACTTATGTACAAGATATTCCAAAATTTGAATAAAATCATTACAGCAAAAAAGTTTTCAAAAAAAAAAATTAAAAATTATTTGCCATTTATCATTCCGAGTATAAGTTTTTTTAGATACAAAGGTGTAAAACTGGCCAATTATAGATTACAGTTAAACGGTTATTTGTCCATGAGTCGCGCATCGATATAATTACGCGTGTGGCGATTCATGGACAAACGACAACTGTTTAATTGTAATCTATAATTGGTCAGTTCTAAACTTTATGAGTATATTTTAAATATTACTATTCAAAATGAAAAATGATAAATAGGTTTTTAACTTGTGTGTTTTTTTTTTTAAACTTTTGTTGTATTTTAATTCCTTGGGAAAAAATGCTTTATATATAAAATTAACATTTTATATAT